TGAGGTTTGGGTGATCATTGAAATCCTCAAAATCATTGATAGATAGGAGTGTAGTGGTGGCCAATACAGACAGGTCAGCGATAGTCAAGTGCTCACCACCGGCCACATACTTATTATTACCAATTAACGTGTCAATCAGTTTCAATGAGTTTTTATAATTAGTGATCTGTTGGTCAGTCGGCACTATACCAAACAGGGCTTTCATAACCTGAAAATCATTTAATATATTAATATATTAGTATATTTTGTATAAATTTATAAATTTTTAATCAATGAATTACAAGCGCCTCCTTATTAGCGGTGAAATAAGACATATCAGTGTTGAGCCAACGATCCACTATTGCTCTCTCATTGGGATTAGACGGGTATAGAGTACTATTGGGGGCGTATTTATTGCACAGGTATTGCATTATGGCTCGACTTTCCCACAGAACCAGATCCCCGTCCACTATTGTGGGCACCTTTTTGGCGGGGTTGAGCTATTGGTTGTTAAATGATTGAAAATTGCTTTATTAGCATTTTTGTAATTTATGGCAATTCACTTAAAATTATGAAAAATGTTTCAAATGAGGCATACCTTTGAATATTGAGGCATCAAGTGTTCGCCTTTAAGTAATTCAACAATTTTAATATTGACTTCAATGTCGAGGTGTTTGGCTGTCATCAACACCGCCCGACACGGAGGGCTTATGCTTAAGAAGTACAGATCGATTGGCATTTTTGAAAATTTAGTTTAAACAATTGCAAACTAATTTCAAACCAAACTTTTTTTTAATATTTAACCAAATTAACATCTCTTTATATACTGTTCGATGTACAGTATTCAAATGAAATTATTAAATAAATATTTATTAAAACTGATATAAAAATTACTGACGGTTATTTAATTATTTTGTAGATAATCTTAATCGGTCAAGGTTAGATACAGTAACTATGAATATTATAGATAACTGTTGGTATGGATTGAATAATAAGTTTCATCAATAATTGTTATTGTTATTTGTACAATAGAAAATGTTCATTGAAGTGTTCACAAATGAACTTTTCTATCTTAATAATTATTAGTTTTGTAAATTACAAAAGTTAATAAATGACATTTATAAATTTAGCTGTACTTAATATTTATTGGATATAAATTATTTATTTATTAAATGACAGTTTACTACAAAATTATTATAATATAAAACAATTGTAGGTGATTATTATGATTTACACTTATAAGTATTAATTAAATCTAGAATGCCCTTTAAGTTTCTTATTAAGACAGTAAACAATTATCACTTTAAGTACTTAATAATGTTATTATAATAATTAACTAGTTATAAAATAACAATCATCGTTGAATGAAAAAACAAAAATATATTGATTGTATTAATAATTTTATAAATACTGTGAAAGAAATGTTGTTCATTTATTTGTATTATAATATTAATAGCAATAGAATACTGCGATAAGTAATGCAATCAAATAAAACACATTACGAAGAAACAAGAACTCAATTATTATGAATTACTTCTTGGATGCGATCATTTGTTTCCAGAGTTCGGGTACTTTTCCATTCACGTCATCAAAATACGGCAATTCCTTCTGCACTCTGAAGAACCAATTCTTCACATTTGGGAATTCATCCAAATCTTTGTAGTCATTGATGGCTAGGACTGTAAGGGAGGCCAAGAAAGAGATGTCGGCGATTGTCAACTCATTTCCCGCAACATATTTATTGTTTCCAATGAAGTCATTCAAGACATTGAAGTTGTTTTTGAAGTTCTTGACGGCGTTCTCATGCGGTTCCACTCCACGGAATATTTTGATCAACTATTTGTATAATTAAAAATTATAAAGATATTAACAAAATGGTCAAGCTCATATTATTGATAAACTTACAATAGTGTCCCGAATGGCGTAAAAGATACTCATATCGTAGTACAGGAGTCGGTCCACATGTGCCCTCTTCTTCAGGTCATGGGTTGGGTAGAGACCACTGTTTGGCGCGTATTTGGATACCAAGTACTGCATAATGGCTCGGCTCTCACCCAAAGGAAAGCCATCGTCCACTAGAGTGGGAACGGCGTGTTGTGGGTTCAACTGATCCATACAATTAAATAATTGGTTTAGTGATTATTAGTTGAGTGAGATTATGGACATACCTTCAGGAATTCTGGTGTCTTATTCTCTTCTTTTTGAATATCAATGTTAATCACATTGACGTCCAGATTGAGTTGTCTGAGTGTCATCAACACCGCCCGACTCGGAGGGCTTAGAGTAGTGAAGTACAGATCGATCGGCATTTTGGTTATACTTATAAATTGGGTTTTGTTAAGAATATAAGGATTTGAGTGAATCAGAGATTTATGTTGTATCACAAATGATAAATTTTTCAAAATTCAGTCTTTTATATAGTCTGTGAAGAAGTTGTGGAAAGTTGTCAAAACAGGTGATATTACTATTGAGATGTGAAATAGTGAGCCGGGAATGCAGTTTACTGTAGGAATTCAGTTCTCATCCAAGTTTGCACTGGAAATGCACTTAGAATTGAGTTTTGAACGATTCGTTGCATTCATACAGCAATTGGAGGATTGCACTGAAGGTCATGAAAACGTCAGTGGTTTGCACTAAAAGCATCACAACTACAGAATATTACTGTACACAGCAACCAATAGCCTATTTCTATGCGGTTTCAAAATTTGCACTAGTTCAATTGTACAGCATTAGAATAAAATACAATTTATATTTGTATTTTACATAATTTCTTTATTTGAATAATATTTAATAACAAATTCAAGGACGATTCAAACAAATTTTAGGTTTATCAATTAATTGAACTACCAACACTCCTGGATCATATTTGTAATGATGATGTTTACAAAATTCATTGTCCCACACTCATTTGTCTATTACCTTTTAAATCTCTATTAATTATGATAACAAATATTTAAGAAATTTATAGTTCAACTCAATATTTATTGAATATATGCTAGTATTTAAAAAGCATACAACTTTCTTATTTATTATATTACACTCTGTAACAAAAAAATTAATACATTAGTAATACATTTGTATTTTTATTAATTTAGATTTTCTTTTATATTTCTTAGAGAGAGTTTTAGATAAAGTCACTAATTTTATAGTTAATAATTATCAATAATAAATTTGTAATATTATGAAATAAAACTGAGTTAATTATTTTAATTAATAATATAAATAAAATATTCCAATAGGTAATGTAAAAGGTTATGAATAAACAATAATTTGGTGTTTTATTTCAATCAATGAATTACTTCTTAGGAGCAATCATTTGCTTAAAGAGTTCGGGTACTTTGCCATTCACTTCATTAAAATACGGCAATTCCTTCTGTAATCTGAAGAACCAGTTCTTCACATTTGGGAATTCATCCAAATCTTTGTAGTCATTGATAGCGAGGGACGAAATGGTAGCCAAATAAGAGATGTCAGCGATTGTCAACTCATTTCCCGCAACATATTTGTTGTTTCCAATGAAGTCATTCAAGACATTGAAGTTGTTTTTGAAGTTCTTGACGGCGTTCTCATGCGGTTCTACTCCACGGAATATTTTGATGAACTGTTTATCAATAATTATTTAAGAATTATTTTATTGAATTTGATAATATTTTATATTTATATTAATAGGTAATTGTGAAAGTATTTCACTTACAATAGCGTCCCGAATGGCGTATGCAATGCTCATATCATAGTACAAAAGTCGGTCCACATGTGCCCTCTTCTTGAGGTCATGGGTAGGATAGAGACCACTGTTTGGTGCATATTTGGACACCAAGTACTGGATAATGGCCCGACTCTCGCCCAGAGAAAAGCCATCGTCAACTATAGTGGGAATTGTGTGTTGAGGGTTCAACTGATCCACAAAAATATTTATACAATGAAAAAATTGTTTATCAAATATCAAATAATATTTTAATTAATGTTCATTATTCTTTAGTGTAGCCAATTATGGACATACCTTGAGAAATTCTGGTGTTGAAGTTTCTTGTTTACTAGGATCCGTCTCAATAATATTAACCTCCAGATTGAGTTGTTTGATTGCCATCAACACCGACCGACAGGGAGTGCTCCGAATATTCATATACAAATCAATCGGCATTTTGGTTATACTTATGATTTGGTTGTTGTTAAGAATATAATAATTTCAGATCAAGTTAAATAAACTTTAAGTTAATAACAAATGAAGAATATATTGAATATGAAAGGATTGAGTCCTTTATATAGCCTGTGAAGAAGTTATGGAAAGTTATCAAAACAAGTGATATAACTATTATCAGGTGAAATAGTGAGCCGGGAATGCAGTTTACTGTAAGAAATGAGTGCAAATCCAAAATTGAACTGAAAATGTACTTTTAAATGAAATTTTTACATTTCGCTCCATTCGTGTAACAATTGGAGGATTGCATTAAAGGTCTGATAAACGTCAGAATGCACTACAAAGCACCATAACTACACAATGCATTAGTTTTGAATGTACACAAGTTTTCAATGCATTAGTTTAACTAAAAACATTATAATAAACATTAAATAAAGTACAAATCATACTTATCTTTTACTTTAATTACTTTGTATTAATTAATTTGCATAATAATTAATATAATATAATATGTATACAATAATTAACGAATATACATACATGTAATAGAAATAATTAGTTATATTTCAAAACCATTACCCATATTTTTGTATTCTTGTTTGCAACTTATATTTGCATAATAATTAATATAATATAATATGTATACAATAATTAACGAATATACATACATGTAATAGAAATAATTAGTTATATTTCAAAACCATTACCCATATTTTTGTATTCTTGTTTGCAACTTAAAATCGATATTTCTTTTTATTTAACATAATGTTTATATTGAAAACTTAAATAATTTTGAGATTAAAAATTATATTTGAATAATAGCATGTATTTTTATTTGCCATTAAAATTATTCTACAAATTATTCTTATGGTATATTTACTTAAAATATAAAAATATCATAACATTATTGAGCACATAAGAAATTATATAAAAATCATACAGGTACTATATTTAGTAAACTATACAAAAGTTCATTTCTTATTTTGTTGTTTGAGAGCAATGAGTTTCTTAATGATTTTAGGTATGTGTCCATTCACTTCATTAAAATATGGTAACTCCTTCTCCAGGCGCTCATACCATGCCTTCAGTTGCGGCAAATCATTCACGTCTTGGAAGTCATTGAACATTAAGACAGTACTGGAGGCCAGGGCTGAGATGTCGGCAATTGTGAGCACATCGCCGGACAGGTATCTCTTATCGCCAATCAGTCTGTCCATCAGTTTTAGATTACTCTTATAAGTGGTTAACTGGAAGTCCGTGGGCTCCACATCCCTCACCACTTTGTTTAGCTATTTATGAGACAATCATATCATAAGTCATCCATTTTTACGACCAATTCATTCGTAACATCGCTTACCAGAGCGTCTCGAAGGGACTGGTAGTATGTGGTGTCGAAGTAGAGTAGGCTGTCCACAACCGCCCGTTTCTGGATGTCTTTGGGATAGAGGGGACTATTGGGCGCGTATTTGTTGCACAGGTATTGCATTATAGCCCGACTCTCCCACACGGGAAACCCCTGGTCCACGATTGCCGGCACTTTCTTAGCAGGGTTAATCTGATCCATAACAATATCATTAAGACTTCAACTTCATTCAAGTGGATAACTAAGTGGCCATACCTTTGCATATTGAGGGGTCATGTGCTCGCCTTTCATGACATCCAGGTTCTTGACATTAACGGCAATATTGAGATGTTTTGCTAACATAAGTACCCCACGAGAGGGTGGACTCAATGTCACGAAATACAGATCAATGGCCATCACATGCACTGGCAGTCTGGCACTTATACCAGGGGTAAGTCAGGGGTAAGTGGCTTATGACCAACTCTTACAAACTTTTAATGACTACTGTATATCACAAAAACTTAATTTTTCTTCATTTGTCAAGCAATACATAACAAATTGTGAATTAACATAAACAAAATGACCTTGCTAGATCTAAAAAATAAGACCTTTATTATAATATCTGTTTATATTTACAGTTTCTATGCAGTGATATGTTGTCCTAAACCGAGAGTACAGTTAATCACACTTTTGACGAAAGGAGGCGTTTGTATGCATTTCTACAATACTGTCCATACATTCATTCAATTCTTATATTCCGTATGAATTGAT